AAGTACTCTATGTCTTTCAATAGTGTTCCCTCAGGAAAAGATACTTGGTCCAATTATTCAGATGGGTTTTCTCTTAGCTTAATTACCTCTTCTAAATCAGTTACAAGTTTTTTAGGGTGAAGAGCAAAGCTCTTGGAGTTGCTTGGACAATGGCAAGCATTGATTTGGTTGCAGTGTACTGTGCCATTGGTAAGCAAAGTGGTAATACCGAGGGAACTTCCTGGTGAAGAATAGAAAGCAGACTTCTAGACTCTTAGGATTGTACTGGCAAAAATAAGGGAGGAGCAGGCTTCTTCCCACTAAGGAATGTCCATTATGGTAATCCCCTTTTGTGGCTTCTGCCCCCTTTAGCATTTGGTGGCTTCCTCAAAGATAGCACAAAGCTGGGGAGTACATAGCATATCTACAAGCCAGATTTTCTTAGGCAGTTGCTGAATCTGAAATTTTGACCAAAGTTATACTGGGCCCTCATTCATCCTCAGGAGAATTTATGGGTGGGCCACAATGAGATTTCCTCCAGGCTTCTCCAGATGGTATATTTGATTTGTTTAGTCGGTCCAGCAAGTTGGGAGGGTGGGGGGTCAGGAACAACAGGCCCTCATCTTTCCAGAATTCTTCCTAAGTACAAATGTTCCTTGACTTACAGTGGGGTTACATCCTGATAAACCCATTTTAATTTGAAAATAACATACATCAAAAATACATTTAGTACACCTAACCTACCGAACATCATAGCTTAGCCTAGCCAGCCTTAAATGTGCTCAAAACACTTACATTATAACACAAAGCCTATTTTATAATAAAGTGTTGAATATTTTATGTAATGTATTGAATACTGCACTGAAAGTGAAAAACAGTATGTTTGTATAAATACTTGAATTACAGTTTCTACTGAATGCAGTCACTTTCACACCTTTGTAAAGTTGAAAAATTAAGTCAAACATCTTAAGTCAGGGACTGTCTATATTTTATTTTACATTGTTGTTGTTTACTAGTGTTTTGAGCATGTGTGCTTTGCTTATTACCAGCTTTTAAAAGAGCTAAGAAGCAACCCCAGTTTTTTGGATAGTGGCCACTCCTGGAATCCTCTTTGGTTATCATTTTTAAAGTAAGACTTT